GCCACGAGGATGATAAGGGTGCTGGAGCACCCCCCTTATGACGACAGGCTGAGAAAGTCTGGGCTGTTCCGCCTGCAGAAGACTGTGTGGAGACCTCATAGCAGCCTTCCAGTATCTGAAGGGGGCCTATAAGGATGGTGGGGAGGGAATCTTCTTTAGGGACTGTAGTGGTAGGACAACGAGGAATGGGGTCAAACTTAAACAGGGGAAGTTTAGATTAGATCTAAGGAAGAAGTTCTTCACAGTGAGGGTGGTGAGGCACTGGAATAGGTTGCCCAAGGAAGTTGCAAATGCTCCCACCCTGGCAGTGTTCAAGGCCAGGTTGGACAGAGTCTTGGGTGACATAGTTTAGTGTGAGGTGTCCCTGCTCATGGCAAGGGGGTTGGAACTAGATGATCTTAAGGTCATTTCCAACCCAAATCATTCTATGATTCTGTGATTCTTTTTTTTTCTTTTTTTCATGAAGGGTAAATTGGCTAAGCCCATGATCACCCATTCCAAGTTAATTTTGTATGACATGATCTTCAAAACTAAGTTTAAAGTGGAATAGTTCCTAGTTGGTTTACTAGCTATTTGGCAAAGAAGTCTGAAAATTCGTAGAACTGTGGCAATATTGTTTGGAAAATAGTATCTGGAGGTCATCTAGCCCTGCTTTACCCTGAATGATGGGACTGTTGCCAGCACTAGATGAGGTCAGCTGTGTATTTGTCTAGCCAAGTTTTGAAAACCTCTAAATGGGAGATTCCATAGCCTTTCTGGATAACCTGTCCCACTGCTTTCCAGTGATTATTAAAAAAAAAAACAACCCTGTCCAAGCTGAGCCATCCAAGATGCATTTAATAGTTGTTTTCTCTTGTTGTATTGTCTGGAACTATAGAGATGAGTTTGGCAATCTCTCCCAACTCAAATACTTGTGGGCGGGTACAGGAGTGGTCATTAATCTCTTCCTGACGTCCAGTGCAAGAAAGATACTGAAATATTGAAGCAAGTCCAGCACAGAGCTACCAGAATAATCTACAGGGCTGGAGTACCTGATGTACAAGGGAAAGTTGAAAGGAGTAAGATTTGCTTTGGCCTAAGCAGGCAAGGCTAAGTGGGGAATCTTACAGCTTCCTTCAGATACCTAGTGAGACAGTGCAGAGAAAACAGTGAGACTCATCGTAGAGGCGAGATGATGACAGGCACAAGTTACTGCAAGAGAAATTCCAGTTAGATATAATGAAAACACTTTTCACAAAAGAATGTATTAAAATTTCAGAACAGCAAGTCTGTAGAATTGCCATCTCTAGAGATACTGAAAATTCAACTGGCAAAGGCCTTTGAGCATCCTAGTTGGAGTTGTTCCTGCTGTGGGTGAGGGTTTGGACCAGGTGACCACCAGAGGTCTGTTCCAGCCTACATTATCCCAAGATTCTCCCCTGTTCTTGTAGGTCATCCTTTAGGCCTCTGACTTCTTACTAGGCCTTTAGTGGACCCCATCCAGTTTCTCCACGTGCTTCTTGAACTGGCAGCCGCAAATTGATTTTACTGAGTAGCTTTTAAGTGATAAGTAGTTCTGGTTCTAAAGCCAACCCGATTTTCAGGCTTCCATTAAGCTGAAGATCTGGAGAGACCCCCTGGACTTGCAGGCTGTGTGTTTTTCTTGGAAGCTGAATGTCAGCTCTAGCCTTTTCTTAATTTATGAGACACCTTCCAAAACTTGTGAATAAAAGTTGCATCTGTCAGTACAGTTATGTCACCAGTTATGTGTATTAAAACAGTTCAGATTTCAGGTCATCTTCCATAAATACTGCATCATTTCTGTTATAAAAGGAATCTCCTTTATATTTGCAGCTATTGCAGCTGCAGTAAGAGAAGCAATTTCTAGTTCAAATGGAATTTCAAATGGAATTTCAGTTTGCAGCAGCAGGTCAAAGTTCAGCTTTAAAAGAAGAGGGGAAAATCTTCAAGTTATTCATAGTAATTTAAACCACATGAATCTTGCAACTTAGTGGAATTCTTGTCTATATTTGTGGTAGTTTAGTAGTGCTATCGCTGTATACATTAGCATTAAAAACAGTTTTATAAACCTCTGACATCTGTTTTGGTTTATAGTGATCCATACGTTAATATTAATGAAATATTTGCCATTTTTCTTGTATGTAATAAAGCACTGAAGATATATATTGAATCACAAACTCTACTGAATATCTTTAGGACTACGAGAAGAGACTGCAAGAGAGGGATGTGATTGACAGCAAGAATTACCTAGATGCCCACAGAGCAGTTGTTGCCAACTATCTGCAGAAGGTAAGCTGCAAAAAATATGGATCCACCATATGTTGCTTCTGTACTTGGAAGCTTCATTTCCATAAATATTAAAAACTGGTTCATCTCTCTAAACATGGCTTACAGACATATTTAAAGCCTCAAGTTGGGCCTGAAACTGGTCTAGTTGAACAAGTGGAGGTTTATAAATGACTCATTTAATGTTACTGAAAAAGATGCAGTATACAAGATGACCAGCCATTCTGGATTTTTCTAGCAGTTCTGTAAATTCTTTTTTGCTCCAGTGTCCCAGAGATTTGTACTGTTGTATCCCAGGTATTCATTGTTTTCCCTTTATTCCCTATATTTCTTCTTGTAAGCTGTGATGCTAAGAACTTAATTATCTCCGTGAAAGTGGCCCTAATGTCTGCAAAAAATGTGATACGCAGAGTGTCTTGTCCTGCAGCCTGAGGCAGAGGGCATACCTTCCATCACAGCACGTTCTTAGTGGTATTAGAGTATAGAAAAACATTGGTCATATAACCAAGAGAAGTTTGCTGTTTCGGAGTATTTTGGCAAAATAGTAAGTGCAAAACATGGCTACCAGTTTCTTACCAGTACTGGAAATATCAAGAAGCGTATTATATCATAGCCAGCCAGCAAAACATACACTATGATGATAACATTGATATGATGTAGAACAAAACAATTTGTCTGTTAGAAAGAATGATTTGTAAAAGAATCCTAGACAATGAGGAGTATTTAAATCTTCCAGGCAAGTGCCAGAGCCCAGATTCAGTATGATAATATAAACCCCATTATTTTTAACAAAGCTGTCATGTCCATGTCAGCCCCATATGTTTTGTCTGATACTTGAGTGTGCACTCAAACATACGGTTTATGCAGCGCACCAAATAATGATATAGTAGGACAGGGTAGGAAACATTATGGTACCTTTATTTGTCACTTTTTTAGATCAAATACAAGTAGCCTGTTTTAGAATAATATTTGGGTATTTTGCACTCATAAATTGTCAGGTGTGCTTGAAAATTAGACTTTTCACATCAGAACTGAAATTCAGTTTACCCTGAAATGTCATCTTTATATGCCTGTCACTTCAAAACAAAGATATAATAGGAATAACTGAAAAAATCTTTTATAAATAACAGAAGAGGGGTTGTATTTCAGAAAGGCCTTTGGTATTGCTGTTCTGCAATAGCACAGTATATAAAGGCATTACTAGCATTTGTAGTAGGAAAAAAAGACAAAGGCACTATGTCAATCTGCTTCAATATGGTTGTTGGGAGAAAAGGGAAGACTTCTGTCTCTCTGCTTCAGTCTGTGACCTCAGCATAGAAATGAAAGGAATGAAGGATTTTAAATATTTATTTGAGATCATGGTATTTGTAATATGGGCTTCATTGATTGTTCTGCAGTCCAAAGTGTTGCTTTTATTCCCCATAACTAATACCATATAGATTTCTCTATAGCCTTTTCTTCAACTTCATTTAGACATGGAACAGAGATGTATGTTAGTGTCATTTATTGTTGTGAGTGTTTCTGATGATGAGCTGTAAGCAGATAAGACTTAGTTTTCTGATTGTGTGCTTTCATATGTTCTTATATCTGGCTAGCACTTTTGTTTCTAGAGAATCATGGTATTTGTAAAATGAACTTGTATTATGTTCTAAAGAAGTATCTGATGGAAAGAAAATTTTCCTTGGACTGTGAGTCTTTTGGAAGCGGGGAAAAAATAAAGAATTAATATTCAGAGATTTGTTTGTGTTTAATAGACAGAATGCAAATATTTGCAGTAGTTTTGGATTAAAAATGTGTTTTTGACTCTTCTCCCTCTGCATTCACAGGTTCGAGAATCAGTAATAAACCGTTTCCTCATAGCAAAACACAATTTCATTCTCTCTGACCTTGTTAATGAGGAGGAGATTCCCAGCCTGGGGTAAGGGAGCTATCTTCATTTGTTCTAAATCCAAAAAAGAATCATGTAAAACTAACTGTTTGCAAAGCATTGATGTGCCTGACAACTGATGCGATTTTGTGTGGAGTGTAATATATAAACTTCCAGTCACTACGTGCGCTTCTGCCAGTACAGACAGTATATTGAGACACAGAGTGTGTAAAAACTTTTTTAAGAAAAAGTCTGGGTTTGGCAGAAGTTGTGTGGCAGCAGGGAAATGAGATTTAGCAGGATATAATGCAACAGGCTGTGATCTGATGAGCTGAGCATAGCCCTAGCTAGTGCCAGACTGAATTATTTCCAAATACCAGACAAGCGTTGGAGCCAGTAACACTACTGCTGGTTCTATAGGTGATGCTCACTTAGAGGCAGTGCACATGCCCTGCAAATAATGTGCAACAGATATTTTTTAACAGTCATTTTCTTTATTTTACTTCTCATGTATTTGTTTGCTGTTGCTGGATATTGTCATATGTTGTTTACTTTCAGGGTTTGGAAATAACTTCTTTTTTTCTTTTAAGATTTTTTTATAATTACTTAAGCACTTTCTTTGAATGGTTGTTCCAATTGCCATACTTGTTGATTTTGACATTTATAAGTCATCACAGCATAGATGAATCTTAAAGTTGCTCACTTAAAAGCTGTCTAAGCAAGTAAGTTGTGGAATTTATTTTTTCCTCTATGTAAAGTTGCTTGTTTTCACTGTAAAATGACACCCTTAAAGTGCAGCCAAAGGTTTTTCAGTCAGCAGCGTAAATCTAAACAGTCCCATCTGCTGGAGACACAGAGACTTGCTTTCTTACAAAAGAGTTCATCCTATTTTTTAGCTCATGTTTTCACATCACAGAATAGAAGAAACCAAATGAGTCTATAACCGGCTTTTGGAGTTGTTCAAAATCACTTGCTTCACTGATAGTTTCTTATCATGAATATTAATTCATATTTGCTGATTTATATGGTTAGCTAGCTTAAAATAGACCATGATTTGTTTAAAACATCTACTTGGTGAGATATTTCAGTACCTCGTGGTTTTGTGTTATTTCAACAGTAATTACTCTGGGGTTTTTAATTATGTATAAGGGAATAATGACACTGGCTATCAGTTTTCAAAGTAGATTTTGGATTGCCTGCAGTTACTATCAATGATGTGTAAAAACATACATCTGCTTTTCATTCTCCTCCTGTTTTTATTTTTCCTTTGGTTCTGCTTTGCCTTGGGTTGTAAGTTCTGAGGGTCCAGGGTATGTTGTGGCATATTCATTATGATTCCTTTCTGTAGCCTACTGTTCGTTGTACATAGCTGTGTAATTAGATTTTTTTTTTGCTTATTCCATACAGTGGTTGTTATCTGCTAGATACCTTGTTTATAGCACTGTAGTTTAGATCTGTTGAAGTTGTGTAGTTGTCATACTTGTATCTTACCTCTTTTGGGGGAAGAAACGAAAGAAAACAAAAAACCAAACATACACGCTCCCCTCCCCCCAAAAAAAGTTTATTTGCACATTTGAGTTAGAATTTCTGAACTAGGAGACAAAACTGGATCGTGTAGTACAAAACAATTAAAACATTTTGACATTTCCTAGTTTTGTGTGGCATTAACAGGAGCATATATCTAATGTGCGTGTGTGTCATGGGAACAGTAGAATATTGGATTCTATGCAAAAATTACTAACTATCTGTTTCATGGTTATTAGTATTTTGGGACTCAGCCTCTTTAAACTGGCAGAGCCAAAACGGCCATTAAGGCCAAGAAGAAAAGAAAGGAAGAAGGTCACGGCACAGAATTTATCAGATGGAGACGTCAAACTGTTAGTGAACATCGTTAGAGCTTATGATATTCCAGTGAGAAAACCAGTGATGAGGTACGTTTAAATGCCTGTTTCCAGTACACATTTGTTTTCTGGTTTCTGCTGTTTTGAGGATGGCTGAAGCAACTAGTGTTGAAATTCAGCCATCTGTGTTGTTTTGGTCCTCATGATAAAAACAGACATACATTTATCTTCCTATTAATAAGGATAAAGAACTCCTGTGCAGTGAGTTTGTAGAATAATCATTTATCAATAACTGCTGAATTCCAGAAATGTTTTACCAAAAACTCTCTTAATTTGGTTCAGGAAAAAAACTGTCTGAAAGATAACTTACAGCTTTAACAGCCTTATAACTCTGGTAATATCAGATGAATTATACCTTAAGCAAGCCTCCTAGTTTTACTAAGGTGATTTTAATTCATACTATCTTAATACCAAAAATAAGTATTAAAAAAATCCTTCATCAAGGGATGTTGTATTTGCCTCCGTAGTGGAGCATGTTGTTTTTCTCCTTCATGAACTGTTTGTTTAAGTTAATGGACTGAGCCTAATTTGGCTTTGACTAATTTTAAAGGTGACCATTACCTTCAGGCAAATTAAGGCAATGCCTGCACTGTGTGATGCTGTGTCATGCAGAGATGCTGGAGTTCTGAGCAGTCATTTGGTTCAGTTCCAGAACTGATATATTAGTGCAGTGTTCTCTCTCTTCCAAAATGAATACACCTTGCATTTAACTTGGAGGTATTTTCAAGCTGACCAATTAATGTGTATACAGAATTTAGTATCTTCTGCTGTTTTATCTCTTTGCTATAATAAAGGTTCTCTTGGATTTCTGTGAATAATTCATACCGGGAAAAGCAATTCATATCAGAAACATGTTGATAAGAAGGAAACGATGAAAATTTCAATTCATTATCGGTCTTACAAAAATAACTAAAGCCCCTCCCAGTCTCGCATTATATGATACCCTGTTTTGAGCTGCTTTCTCCATGAATAGCCTTTCTTTTATAATCGCTAGTGTGGCGTTATTACAAAAGAAGTTATGTGGAAACACTATAAAAATAAGCTTATTAACATTTATTTTATTTCACTCATGGGTTCCTGATTGTGTAATACTCATATGGGTTTAATTTTGTTGAAGAGGCCTTGACTGAATACCATAAAGTGTACACTGTTTATGAATTCTGTGGGGATTCGTCTCCTTGAACTGAAAAACCTGTAACTCAAAATGATTATATGGAGAGGGAAAAAACCCAAAATCTGGGCTGATAAGCTCTTCAGAAAAGAAAGCCTCCAGGCAAAAAGCACTCTTGCAATGAGGCATACAAGAGCTATGCACTCACTACCCCTTTCTGGCATTCTTTTTGTGTTATTTGGTTGAATAAATATCTTTCCAAGGTTAAAGTCATGACAAGAAAGTATCAGAAGTATTTCCAGAATTCAGAACGGTTAATACAGAATGTGAGAGCTTCATATTTTGTAATGTGTTCTCTGCCTTGTTGTTGTTTCCTCTCATAGCAAATTTCAACAACCAGCCAAATCTTCAAGGTCCTTTAATGAGATGTTTGCAGCCTCTGCGTCAGCTCAGAGCCCAGCTGATAGCGCAGATTGGGCGTTCAACCAGGTACATTACCAAACATTTTCTTACATGAAGCTGTGAGCGTTCCTCTTTTCCACAGACAGTCACACTCACCATCAGAAAGATAACTCATGAGGTTGGTTTGCTTGCTCAGTTACTCCAAAAAGATTGTAAACCTGTAAAAAGTTCAGAGAAGGGTGATAAGGATGTCAGAAGTACAGAATGACTAATGTGCAGTGAAAAACGGTAGGGCTTTTCAGCCAGCACAGCAGTAACTGCGAGTAGGGGAGGAGGAATATGCTAGAGAGGCACAAAATCATGACTAATATAGAGACTGTGGATAGAGATTGACTGTTTACTCGCTCTTTCAGTAGAGGGGTGAGGCATCATCGATGAAACTGGTAGGAGTTGGGTTCTAAACAAACAGAAGGTTGTGATTCTTCAGGCAGCACTTAACAGGTGCCCAGAGAAGTTGCTTATGTGTGTTGTGGACTAAAGGGGTTTGCTTGCATTGGACAAGTATTTGGAAGAGTGATCTGTTGGGAGTTATTAAAAAGAAGAGTCCTTACAGGCTTAGGCGAGTCCTTCATCTGAAAACAGTTGAAGCCTGGAAAAGTAATGGGAGAAAATACCATATATTCCTGCTCTGTTCTTGCTCTTCTGTGTCTGCTGATGACCATTTTCACAGCCTGAATTTTGGGCCTGGTGTACTCTTAGTCTAAACCAGCACAGGCATTCTTACGGCTGATGCTGAAAATGCATTTGCTTTCTATTGAGAACTAAATTGAGCATCCTTCTGAATGAAGATGGAAGCCCTTTGGAGTGTTTTTTCCCTGTTTTCCTTATGATTTCCCTTCAAAATTACAGCTTTTTGAAATACAGAAAACACTGTGCCATATGCATTTGAATATTAATTAAATGGCCCATTAAGCCATTTTAAATCGCATTAGGCTTTTGTTGTGTCTAGTAGAAGTTGTTTGTCTGTAATAGGAGCCAGTTTCAGAGACAGCCAGGATTGTAGCAGTAGACTGCTTGGATTAAAGGTAAGAGGACACTTTTTTCCACTGGTGTCTGGATCATGTGTTCTCTTTCAGTTACCTTCTTTGATTAGATAGCCAGTAGCTTTCCCATTCTCCAGAGAAAATGTGGTTTTGCCAGTATATATGAATATGTCAAGTTTTCTGAATATACATAATCTTTTGGAAATGCTAACGTGTAAAATATTCTTTTAAAGCTTCATAAATGCTTACAAGTCTGGGAAGTACAGTATTTAATGTGTATCAAAGTTTTATCTGGGCCAGATCAGCCTGATCTCCACAAAGTTATATGTCTATTTTTCTAAATACCTGAAAATGTGTGATTCAATGTGTTCGTATGAATTGTTATAGAGGTCTGTTTCCTGTGTTTTGATGTCTGTCTGTAGGTTTTAGTCCGTCCTTTTGTAGAAGTTTCTTTTCAGCTAACAGTGTGCCGGACAACAACAGCAGAGGGTCCAAACCCCAACTGGAATGAGGAACTTGAGCTTCCATTTAGGTACAGCAAAATGAAGCCAAGTTATTTCTGAGTGATGATGATTTAATTTGAGCATGCAAATGTATTAAAATTTTCCAGTTCAAATCACTTTTTGGGTGTATTTAACCTTTTCAGAGCTCCTAATGGTGACTACAGCACCCATAGTTTGCAGTCAGTGAAGGATGAAGTCTTCATTAACGTTTTTGATGAAGTACTTCATGATGCTGTAGAGGTGAGTTCATAATTTCAGGACAGTGTACATTAGAGAATATTATAAGCTTTTGACGTTGACAGAAAAAGTCTTTTCAGTGTAACAGATTTCATCCTCTTGTGCCTTTTCAGTCTATTTTGTCATTCCTTCTCATTTTATTTCCAGTCAATATTGCAATATTGTTAGAGGGAACAATCTGTATTCTATTAACCTTTGTCTGTACAATTTAAGCTTGTACTGCATAATCTGCTGCTAGAATTGAACATATGTATGTAATGTGTTTTACTGATATTTAATGAAAGTGGAGCTACTAAAATTGAGAGGCAACATGTGAACTGTAATCTGAATTCTGTCCTAAAGTTTAATCAGAATTTTTTACTAAATTCCAGGTGAATGATCCCAGTTCCTGTACTTCTATTAACTATCTTTTCATGCTCTGTCTCATCCTGGTTTACAAGCTGTTTGTGGGGGGGAAGGGGAAGAAACAAAGCATCTTTTGGTTGTATATATTAGTTTTTTTGGAATGAGATAAAGTAAGCTCTCAGTGTTGGCATAACTCAGTCGCCTATTAAAACCAGTGCAAGCCTTCCCTGTCAGTTCAGTAAAACAGCAATACTCAACACCCTTGGAAAAACAGCCCCAAAATAAAAAATGCATACATTTCACTGAGAACACAGTTCTGTCCCCAGAACTGACATGGTATTTGGTGAAGCAGAGGGAAGAATGATAGTCTTGAAACTCAGATGTCACTCTGGCCTTTAGAGGTTTTTATTAATTTTTAATAATTTATAGGCTGATTATACTAGTTTCAGAAATCCCTGATAGGCAATACCCATGAAAACAGTGCTTCTGTTCCAGAGGGTTTAGTTAGATTTTCATACAGTTTTACCTTCAAAAAGCTTTCTTAAATGCTAGTAAAATACTTCATTAGAAGACCATTGCTTAATTTACTTTGTCTGAGAAGGCCTTTTTAGATGACTTCTCAGATTTTTGAGTTCTTCATCACAGGTTATACAGGACTTTAACCCTGAATCACAAGCACATTGTATCATGGACCATGATGTCCTTGTAATTGTTCAATATCTGGCATGCTTGAAAGGCATGCAGAATAATCATTGCCATACTAGTAATTGAACTTATATCTGCAGTAGATTATTAAAACAATATGTATTTTTTATTAATGCCTGGATTAAATTGCTGATTCAATTAAAGGAAATTAAGATGTCTTACAAAGTGTTATGTTGGGCACCTTTTTAATAGGATGATCGTGAAAGAGGCAGTGGAATCCACACACACATTGAGAGACGCTGGCTGGGATGTGTTAAAATTCCATTTACTACCATATATTTTCAAGCGAGGGTAAGTAACTTGGAGTAAATCTCTTAAAATACAAAACTGGAGAATGGAACAGGGCTGGTAATGGAATGTCAGATTTAATCATGTTCTCTGTACTTGTTAGCTTGTTTTTATGAAATTGTTTGAAAATGTCTTTGAAACCACAGGTTTTTTGTCAAATTTGGTGAGTATTTGTCAGTAAGTTCAACATTTTGAAGAGAGAAGACATAAGCAAATGTATTTCTACACTGACAATGTGGCCTCGCTTCCTTCAGTAATGAGATTAAAACTGCAAGTCCTTTAGATGGCTTTGTCAGTGGCTTTTTGAGATCTCTGGTATTGCACAGCCTTGATACACGAACTGGGAATAGGAGTATTGCCCGGAATGGTGGTGGGAAAATTCACCTAACTACTTCTTTCACATTTTTCATGAATTTCACATTTTTCATGAATCACCAGATTTTCACCTTTGCCTCTTCCAGTCCTTTCTTTTCTCCATTCTTAGAACTTTTCAAGAGAAGCTTTCTTCAAGAGATACCAACAGTTAGGCATAGGAATAATAGTAAAACATGCAGTTCTTCACAAGGGAAAGGCAGGTTTTTTGTCCTTCCACCCATCCTGGACTTAGGTTAAGGAAACTTAATTTTTCACATCAGTAGTGCTATCATATTGTGACCTCGCTGTAGGACTTTTCTATGCAGGGCGGTTGCTTTCATTTGTAGATCAGGTCATCATACCACAGAAGTCTCAGATTCTTCATGAAGATTCTGACATCAGCTGCATACCTAATGACACATTTATTTGCTTTTCTCTGGCTGTATGGGACGCTTCTCAGAACCTTAAGGTCTATCTTCAACTTGGGAGTTTCATCAATGAATTTAGGTGTTTGGGGGTTATGGTGCCCTATAGAATGAAGCTTTGATTGACTTCACAGAAGATGTAGGTAATAAGAAGGTCTAACCTTCTTTTCATGAGTCTCTGGCCATCCTGTGCAGACAGTGCCACATAACGTGACCACTGTTGTTATAGTCAACAAACATAAAGAAGCACGAACCTCTTTTTAAGGAAATGTTCCATGTTGGGTTTAGGGTAATGTTCTAATGCATGAAATTCACCTGAGAAGTGTGTCTGCTCACAGTCCTGAGAGACTTCATGGACAGACTTAGACATTTTAACAGACTGCTTACCAATATGTAGTGAGGGGGACAGCCTGTAATCCATCTTTGAGGATTACCAGTGCTGATGTCAACCTCTGTCCTACATACTTCTTGTTGGTGTATCAGTCAGTCTGTTGTAGAACCAGAGTAGCTCCAGGATTCCTGTCAGATGCACTCCTGACTCTCTTTGAGGAGGTGTTGCAGTTTGTGATACCCTAAGCATAGTGTGCATGCCTGCATAGATCTTCCCAGCGTTAAGAGATTCTTTTCATTGAACAGGATTTCTTGCTGAATTTTAAAAAGCCTGATTAGTCCAGCAGTTATATCAAGGTGCAATTAAATTTCAGTAGCAAATGAAGCATTTCTTCATCCTATTCTACTACACTGGAGCAGAGATTAAGTGATTTATTTCGAGTTTTCTTCTCATCAAACTTAATTTTGTTCTTAAATGTTTGATGAACCAGCCCAGTGAGTCATCTGTTCATCTTCCACATCCACTGAAGATACCCTTCCTGGTGGCAGTTACCTGAGGGTAATCTTCTTGCTTTGCTCTTAATGCTACGTACATCCACTGTTGAGACTTGCCCAAGCAAGCGTGGGGCATGCCATCCCTCGTCTGACACAGCCTGTTCTGAAAGACCTGATCTTCTGATTGTGGTGGCAAAGGGAGGTGCAAAGGGCTGGTGAATCTATCAGAGCACTTTTCCACGAGGAAGCTGGCTGAATGGGCCCAGTTCCAGTTGCACCCAAGAACTGTCTATAAAATGCAGTCCAGCTGAAATGAAGACATTTAATTAAATGTAATACATCTAACGATGATATGCCTCATGTTTTCCCCACAGTTGATCAGTATATATGTCATATTCTCTCATTTCATTGTATTGTAATTCAGAGAAATCAAAGGAATAAAATACTTGAAGTTCTGCTTTTTTGCTTCTAATGAGAAGTATTTATCTGTATTTGTTGTAGATTGATGGTACATTTAAGGTGGATATTCCTCCAGTCCTCCTTGGCTACAGCAAAGACAAGACCCTGGGAATCGAGAGAGGCTACGATTCTGTGCAAAATCTGAGTGAGGGCTCATATATAACACTGTTCATTACCATTGAACCACAGCTCATTCCTGGAGAGTCAGTCAGAGAGAAGGTAACTCATCAGCAGTTCATCATTTTCTTGCTTTTTGTTTGCAGGGGTGCAGTTCCTGAGATGGATGTAAGTAGGTATGCTTGGTGTACTGAAGGACACAAACACAAGTACAGAAAAGACATCAGTACAATTTCTGAGTGTTCCAATTCAAATTTTTTTCAGTCAGTTCAATTTAATTGGATGCACCAGTAAGTTAGATGGACACTTAAAGTGTAAGTTAAATCTCACTTTCACCAGGTATCTAGTTCTAGTGTTAATAGAAAGCAGATTTCTGTTCATTATCTGTGAGCGTATCATTTTCCCATTTATTTCTGTAGACAATAAAGTATTCATGTGAGTATTTGTGACCAGTGGACAGAGAGGAGGTGGCAGGTGCAACCATAGTCTTGTTTCTGTGTTTATACTATTCAGATAAAACATTATTATTTATGGCTCCATGATGCCAGATCTCAAATGCAATTATTTCTAAACAGCAGCTGTTACTTTTTTGGTTATTTTACTAAGCCAGAAGTGCCTTGTACTAACAGCAACAATATGTAGTTACAATGCATACACCACTTGCTATTTTGTATAACATTATGCAATGATTTTGAGATCCATTCAGCAAGGATATATACTTTTCACAAACAAAAGGCAGCAGTTTGTTCTTTTCCAGTGCTGCGCTGGTCATTTATTAGAGACAAACAGGTCTGGAGAGAAAAGTCTATCGTTATGTAATTTCTTTTTCAGATTAAATATATAAAATTGTATGATGCATTTCAACCCCCCTTTTTCCTGTTAAATTACAGTCTTGAAAACTATCCAGTCCTGTGTTTTCTTGCTTTCATGCAATACTGTGGGAATTGTTACCATTTAGTCCTGTTGAAAGTAAAGAAAATTAGTAAAAAGCATTCATGGGTGACTTTTAAGGTTAATTAGTTTGAATGTTGAGATCATTACTATGACTTGGAACCATAAATATAATCTTAACAGCCTTGGAGCACGTTTAATAGATGAGACCTTATTTAAGAGTTCTAGTCAGAATCTTTGCGCACAGTAATTACTTGCTGGGAAGGAAATGCACTAAATTTGTACAGACACAGATCTCCATTTGTAGGCAGACCTGTCTCCAGCACTGTTTCAAAAGAAAACTCATAGAAATTCAAGTAAGGGATGAGATTATTGTAAAGTACTTTGGACTATATGTTACGAATCTTGACTTCTTCAAATAATGAGCAAATGTTCAGAACTTCTTGTGTAGATGCAGTTTGATGCTTAGTTACCAAAAGGCTATGTATTGTATTAATGCTCAGTGAAATGCAGTTTGGTAGCTATATTTAGAATTGATTTGAACACTTCATAACACTTTTATTCAAGTCAAAGGTCTTTCTGACATAAGTTCTCTTTCATTTCAAATATGCCAGTAGGACCTAACTGCCCCTTGCCAAAACTCAGACATAAAGAACTGGAAAGGGGCTGAAGTATATTCCATTCTGAAGATTCAGCAAAGAATTGTAGCACAGTAAATCAAAACACAGGAGTTGAGTCCTGTTGTAAGTACCAAGAAATACATGTCAAAGCTTCTCCTCACAAGGAGCCACACTGAGAAGACAAGGAGCAGTGGGTACGAGTTGCACCGGGAAAGGTTCTATCTATCTCCATATAAGAAAGGAGTTTTTCACAGTGAGAACAGTTGTTAACTCGAACAGTCTCCCCAGGGATGTGGTAGAGTCCCTGTCACTGGAGGATTTCCACATATGATTGGACAGGGTGCTGGATAATCTCATCTAGGCTCCTTTTCCCACAAAAGGTTGGACCAGATGGTCTTTTGAGGTCCCTTCCAACCTGGGCTCTTCCATCATTCCATGAAAGCTAAACTACCAAAAAGTATGCACTGTCACTGAAGTGCACGGAAAGTAAAACCAGGAATAAGGAAAGTGTTGCTGAGGTAAGAAACCTGTTGATACAGAAGATCTGGAAAGAACAGTGGAAAAAAACAGTTGTGATTAGTAAATCTGCAGGAGTTTTGCCAGATTTTTGCTCACTCTTTACATTAGAGATTTTTCTGAATCTTGTAAAAACTTTACAAGATCTACTTTACTGTACAGCAGATGATTTGTTGACCTGAGCCAAACCAGATCAGTTCTTCAGCAGACATCACACAGGATTTTCACATAACCCTTTTTTTTCAAAGCAGTTATAAATAGAAGACAGTAATGTGACAGATACACTATCGAAAGCATTTGGCATAAAGTGACAAGAACTAACTAGGTATTTTGCCATCCTTTGTTCCTATTGCTAGCCATTCC